GCTTTTTACGTAAGAAGCCACCGCGTCACTCCGAGTCAGTTTGTACTTGTATGATGATTAAGTGCCTTCAAGACCTAGATACTCCAGAGTATCGAAAGTATTTATTAATAGTAATATACAAAGGCGTTTTCTAGCGGTTAAATAATTCTTCTTGATATCGATAGAGATAAGTGAAACGATAAGTGGATAAGATGGACGACCGCGAGAGTGTCGGTCCATCATTACTCAACGAATCGAAACATGCCATGTGCATTTATAGTAAGAAATTTTAATAAATTATCACAATGATATTTTTTATTATAAACGTTTCGTTTTTTTTTTTTTTCTAATAGAATAGAAAGAAATCGTGTTTTACACTCGATACACTCTTCAAGATCCAACATTTATTAAATCTCTTGCCTTCTCTTTTAGACTTTTGTAAAAAGTTAATTAATTGAATATGAAGGGGAGGATCACCCGGGGATTAACCTGGCTTCAACCTAATCGACATCTACTTTCGCGGAGATTGATGATAAAAATAGACGCGTGCTTCCCCTGAGGCGAAAACTATGTACTTTCGTAATCATCGTCTGGGTTTCCCGTTGAGAACGGTTATTGTTGGAAAGCATGCCGTGTCATTATTTGCGACGCGACGAAACAATAGTGGCTGCGACAAGGCACGAGAAGGCACGTTACACCACGTTGCGATCGACCAACGTCTGCTTATACAGGGTGTCCTTATTCTCTAAAACCAAACGAAAAATAAAATCTCATCCATCGAGCCCGATTTCCAGGCTTCTTATGAAAATCGCTCGTTATCTTCAGGAACTACATCGCACTCTCGATCTTCCTCTTACCAAGGATAAATTTATTTCAAATTAAAGAATACCGATGTGAATAAAATAAATCTCAGACATCTTGTATATAGGACCCTTCGTAAAATCGCCCCCGTACGTCTCCTCTCGACATCCGGAACGTCATCTTAACGAGATAAATTATCGTATTTCTCGTACGGTTGCAACGCATCAAACGCGTAATATATGTCGCTAAATAAGCTATCAAGATTCAAATCTCGTCGATCAATCACGTCTGTGGTCAGTAAGCGATTGGACCATTTGCATTGCGAATTTCTCATGGTATATATAATTTTGAAAGTATTAGTCGTACCAGAAAGTACGCGATCGATTTATCTACAGTACAGAATGATTAAACTTAATTGAATATTTTTTTGTGTTACAACTATTGGAAATCGAATGGTGGTGAGATTTATGCTCGCATGAAGTATCGCAGCGAGTCACTTTGCGTTTGTCTGCATTAAACTTCGAGGCCCCTCCTTATCTGACTTGGTGCTCGCCATAATCGCACGAGGGTGCAGTAACACGCGTAAATAAACGATAATAGTTTTGAAGAAACAAACGCCTTTCACAGTGAGGTCACGAGAAGAGGATAATACGCTGTCTTGAGAAGCGAACTCGTGACTTCCCAAGTTTTCAACTCTTACTCATGCACCTTCGACTTATTTCAAACCATCGAGAAGCTTACTTGAAAATCATTATTTGAATATTTTATAGAATAATTTGCGCAAGGAATCGAATAACTTCAAGCGCTATTAAATTAGTTTAAATATATCTTTAGATTTATCTACTTAATATATACCTACTTAAAAGTGCAAAACAAATGGAATTCAGGCAAGTGACAAAGGAGACACATTCGTAATTCATTATTTTGTTTTTTTTCTATTGTGTCACAATTCGTATATTTGTATATTTATGGTGACAGTTATCTACACATGACGACGCATTCTTATATGAACGCTGTACAGCATACAAAACATCTACAAAACATATTTGTAGATAAACAATGCTCGTACATCCCAGCTTCCTAAACGTGCCGGGTTGAATACGAGGATTTCATTTCAGTTTCCATAGTGCATTATCTGTGCAGGAGCAATGTACCTTACGTAATGAATAATTTATCAAACGTCGTGAATGACGAGCAAAGTGAAAAGCGTACCGCCTTAACGCGTCCGCATGTAAAATCTCTTCTCACTCGGAGAGTCGCCGATATCACATTTTTTGTGCAATGTGACAATTCAGATTTTCATTGGAATATCCGCGCTTTTCTGTTCTTTCGCTTTTAAAAAGGAATTCGCGTATATAAAAAATCGTGGCGGAAAGAGAGAGAATTACTTACTTACTTTCAAACAATTTGCGAAAAAATTTCTCGAAAGAACTTCAAAGACCTGATATCGAATCAAATATCGAACTATGCTCTCCATAATCTCCGATCGTGTGAAATTAAAGTTTCACTAGATATTCTTGAGTAGCTGCTCAAAATACACCAAGCCAAAGTTATTGTATTCCTCGTTTGACGTAATATTATCTCATGTAACAATTTAAAATATAAATTCCAAACAAAAGGATAGTAAAAAGCATATAAGAGTAACCTATTTTTTCGCGATTTGCCCATCTACAAACTCGAGATAACTCGAGCCAACTTTCAGAAATGCAACTCCAGTGCCAACACCAGCTATCGTACAGCAGACTGGACTTGGCGGCACTATAGAACGTAGCACCGCCCATAGTAAGACTGATCCCAGACTCAATAATACCGCCCCAGTAGTGCTAAAAAATAAATACGATGAAATAAATTCAGTTTCATTCAAAAAGAACCCGCATATCCCTTTATGATATCTCACCTATACAGAATTCTCACAGACTGTGGTGCGGTCTTCATGTGTTCACGTGTGTAAATGTATGACCCCGTGCCAAGCAATGTGCCAGCCAGTAAAAAATTCGTTATGTCCCTCTTAGGAAATACTCTGAAAAAACAGACAGCGCTATTTAAAATTTCTGTTTTCATCGCGTTATTTACATCTCACAGTTTTTCCTTCTACGAAGCAAGAATATCATTTTGTTGCAAAGTAGGTTTCGGTAGAAGTTTTCATTCACATTATAAAATATTGAAATGTTCCGTGAGCGTTCATCTATCGCAACGGCAAAATCCATAAATTGCATACTCGGGATTACGTAATGGCAAGAAAGAAGAAGATAGGATAATCCGTCATCACGTTGCGTCATGTTGAATTGCGCAGGACGAACGATAAAACGATAAAACTTGACCGCGACTCGACTTACTTGATGACGAGACTCGGGTTCATGACGTTGACGGACATCGCGGTGTACGAGGCGGCGCCGAATGCCGGCGCGTAGAACTTGGCGAGGTTGCATCGTGTGACCGGTCGCAAGCCGAGCTTCTTCACGATCGAACAACAACCGCCGCTGGCGGCGGCATCACTACCATCATCTCCCGTGCTGGCCATCTTTCCCTTCGACGAATTTCCGTTCCTTCGTGTGTCGCGGATAAACCCCTCTTCGGCGAGTCACGCAACTTGCTGCACGACAAGTGTCTTCGTCTTAGACACGAGACTTTGATCGGTAACCTCCACACTTGCGTACCACACACATACACATACACATACACAACGCGCGCAAAGTTACCAGATTATTTAAGGAGCAAGTAGCCATAAGATGGCGGTGAGGTAGCCAAAATTTCGCCAAATGATAGTTATATATCCAGGCTGCGTTCCGATATTCACTGCCAGTACTGAAAATATATAGTTCAGGTTACGTATATTATAGATTTTCAGCACTTGCAGTGAATATCGGAACGCAGCCAGAAAGTACACGCAGTACACGCCCACGTGACGTTGCTGCTGAGTGCGCTTGCGCTGGAAACATGACGGCCGCGAGTGGCGCCCGCGACGAATTTCGGACGACTATAACGACAGTTGATATTCAACATAGCCGGACCTAGGTAAATTTTTGTGACTGTATCAAGTGGATAGAATAGATCTAAAGATAAATGGAGGTGTAGACATTATCAACCATCGACAAATGTATAAATAATTATATACATATTTATATATTGAATTTATAAGTTATTATTATGTAGATGCTTCATAAATATATGACAGCAAAACTGCATTTTTTGTATGCTTTCCATCTGCTAAATACAAAATAATGAAGCTCAACTGAAGAAGACTTTGCCACGTAGCTTGACTAGAATTCTTTGTTCAGATTGATTGATCATTCGAACTCTTCAAATCTTTTACAGAAATTCAATCTAACACTGGCGGATAATATAATACTGGAAATATAATATTAGATTATATCATATAATATATCTTATTCGAGGGAACATTTATACGTCTTTTTATTCATAGGACGTTCTTTAGAATATTCCTTGAAAGTTTATACCGTACTTTGAATATTAAAAACTATTTTGAGTATTTTAAAAACACCGTTTTAAAAATACTTTTGTGTGTTAAAGGCACTGAACAACAGAGTTTTTAAAATACTCAAAATAGTTTTTAATACTTATTTTGATAAGTAATTATAATTACTTTCAACATTAAATTTTATAAGGGAAAGGAAGAAAGTAAATGGATTGCAATCAAAGTGACTATGCTAGATTTATGATAGGACATTACTATCCCTCCTCGCTCCAGAATTTCTAACTATTAATATAGTGGATAGTCACGTGGACCGGCATGCAGAGATCAAAAGCATCGACGCGAAGCGTTCATTGTCTATATTGGCTGTACTGTGATAGGTCATATAATTACTTCACTCTCGACATTCAAATCAATAAATTGAAGACGTTCGAATCTGGCCGAATCAAATTCAGCGCAAGAGAGCGTATTCATTGAGACAAGTAGAAAAAAAAGAATACATTCGAACTCTGTATCTCTTGATTATGAGCAAGAATTTCACTCTTCACTATTTCAAAAAAATTTATCTTATATCGTTCAAGTCATTAGTAATTGTATAGGTTTGTGAAAGAAATTGTGACAGTCTTTTTCTTCGTGAAATTGGAAGCAAGACGAGATTTTTAAAAAAGGAGTAGGAATTTCCAATTGATACAAGGATGACTTAACAAAATTCGATTTATTTAATAAAGCAGTGCAATATTATTTTGTTAGAATATGGATAGAATTATTAATATTTTCTTGATCGATATGTGAAGAGAAAGATTAGATTAGGGATAATAAATTGTTGTGATTAATGTCCATTTCTATTTTTTCAATATATTATATAGATTAACTTCCCAGACAACATAAAGTCTAAAATCAAGACATAAGCTGTCTTAAAAATATTTTTGCAAAAGACATTTAAAAGACATTTATAAGTGACAGTTTAACTTACTTACTTTTATCTTTTTTAATTCTAAAAATTAGAGCGAGATAAAATAAATTGAATTAAAATTAAAATTAAATTGAATACTAAAATAGTAAAAATGGATAAGTTAGTCAGAGTTCGATAGTCTTAAACGTTAGAAAATGATTCTGCCAATTCATTTTCTGCTTATACTGTATTTTATTACTGTTTACTATTGCTTCGTACATGACGTATAAAAATTCAGACTGGTATACATAGTTGTACATTATTTTTCGTTTGTCGAAAATCCCTCGCGAAATCCTGAAATGTCGCGAAATATCGAAGAGATGTCAGCGAGGTGTTTCCTTTTCCTCGCAAATATTTACACACGTTGTCCGTCTTGTAAAAAAGTTCGGTCAATCGCGGTTCCAATTGCTGTGCAATCCGAATCCGGCGATTCGAATTCGAGCTTCGGTGGAAACTCGTTTCCATCTCTTTCTCGGATTTCTGCGCGAAACGCGAGCTCGATTCAACGAGTCTCCTACGATGACGATAAAATTCAACATTTTCGCTCACGCCCCATTACGTCGTCGTTCTGTAAAAGGAAAGGCGAAACTCTCGCACGATCTCACTGTTTCGGATTTTGCAGGAGCTTCTTCTCGGAGGATCGGAGCCTCAAGCACTTGACCGTCAGAACGACTATCGTGACGACGGCCCCGATGAAGGACACGATGCCGAAGACCACCAGCACCGCGAACCAGTTCTTAAACGTGCCGATCCTGCTGTCGCAATCGTGGCTGTCGGTATCGTTGAAGTTGAGAGCCGACAGGTTGACTGGCCTCAGAGAGATCGATTTGTATTTCCGTCTCGCGACAGTCAAGTTCCGCTCCTTCCTGACGAATCGGTAGGATATGGCGTAAGTGAATCCCTGCCCATCGTAGGACCCTTTGGCGCTGTAGTATTGGATCAATAATTCGTTTCCGCTAGACGTCAAAGGTACTTGGATGTTGTTGATGTCCCAATGAGACGCATCACAGTAGGACCATATCAGGAAGCTGCCGTTCACCTGCGAATTGTTGTCGACTTTTAGAAAGCAGGCCGTTTCAGTTGCAAGTGAATCCGCGAATAATAGACGAATTAAAAAACAAAAGGCAACTTAAGAATTCATTTCACAAAGATGTTCATCAAGTACCGCTTTAATCTAATTTTTATCTTTTATCTAATTTTAATCTTTGAAATTGATTGTGTAGTTTTTGAATGTCCCTGTACGCTTTCTTAAAATTTCCCTCGATTCACAGTAAAATTTATTTAATTGCACGTTATCAAAGATAAAGAAAGCGAACCTAGTGTCAGGGATAATACAGAAAAAACAGTTTTGCTGAAGTATCTAAAAATTTGAGGTCAGATTTGAAAATAATTTTATTAAGTCAAGTATCAAGATAATAATAATAATAATAATAAAGAGGCTCGAATTGGTTACTAGAATATCACAAATTTTTGCAGTATTATCATTTTATATATTTATCTCAATGACCCGATAAAATTATTTTCAGATCTCTCTATAGCAGCCAAATTTTTATATATATATACATACTTCAACGGAACTATTCTCTCTGTGAACAAATTCCGCGAAGGGAACGAATCCTTGTCGAGGCTCTCTCTATTCCGAGGAGGGTATCGCGAAGCCGCGAGTACGATAGATCCAAGTATACGATAGAACTAGCTCGCACTTGCCTGCCCTCCGTTATAAACGGTGATCTCGTTGCCCGGACAAGAATTGAGGCTGAAGTTTCGCCTTCCCGTCTCCGGTTTCTCATGCTCGAGCTCGTTTCTGAGAATCTTTATGTGGATCGAGACCCTCTCCGTCGCTCTACCGAGAAACTTGTAAGTGCACACGGTGTCAGGGGGATACCAGCTCCGTGGGGATCGGATGTTCTCCTTGCCGTTCCGCGGCCGGCCCGTGCTCCTGTACGCAAATTCGCATCGCGCGCGTCTCGCCTCCCGCGAGACCCTCTCCTCGTGCAGCATCACCTGGAAGCCGTCGTGGGCGACGGTGCCGTCCTCGCGAGCGACGAACTCCAGGATCACGTTTCTTCCGCGCGAGTAGATGCGCGGCACCCGGCCGCTGCCGCAGAATCTCGAGATCTCCAGGATTCTCCCGTTCACGTTTTCCAGAAGCGCGAGATAATCGCCGAAGCCGCATGCGGTGCTCCCCGACGATCGATCCTCCTCGAGATACTTGGCTCCCGGTGCCTTAATGAATTATACGGGACACATATCGATTTAGGTGAACAAATAGACTGATCTGGAAATACGTCTCCCTGACGCGATTAAGTCTTCTCGTCAAGCGAGAATGCGAAATCTCATCCGTTTCAGTCATCCTCTGGATTTTGACGTTTTAGAAAGAGATTAGTCAATTTTACGTGCGGAGTGAATTATTAGAAAATAGAAGTGGAAGAGAGGAGAGGAATTTTAATGCTATGTTTAGAAATTCTAAATTAATATTTCTGATTCATAATTATAGATCAAATAATGAAAAATAACGGCTTTATATACTAATTAAATAATCAGAATAATATTATTAATTGAAAAAAACGCATATATATATATATATATATATATATGTTTTAATTAATATTATTAATTAATTAATTAGTAATATTACTTTACTATTCTGATTATTTAATTAGAACAATAAAGCCGTTTATTTTTATATTTGATATATAATCACGAATCAGAAATATTAATTTAAAATTCATGTACATATCACCGTTAAAATTTCTCTTCTCTTTTATATATGTATATATTACTTTATATAGATTAATCTCATTGAAATTATTATGGCAAATCAGAAAGAAAATCCTCGATTATTCTCCTTTTCCACTTAAACGAGCTACATACCGTCGCGCTACCGATCGTTTCGCTCGGCCTTTCAGAATCGCCATTGAGATAACGATTCGGGACAACCCCTCGATAGCGCTTCCTCGTTATCTTCGGACGCATTGATTTTATGCGAAGTCTCAGCTCGCTCGTGTCGATTCTATGGGGCAGCTCTTTGTGAAGATGTTGTTTTCGTCTGTATCGCTGTACCACCTTTTTCTCGTAGTGCCTGAGCCTCGTTAATTGTCCGCTCGCTTCTGCGATGCGTTTCATCGAGGAGATCCGGCCACTGTTCCCGATAATAGATTCATCCGCCCCAATGTGATCCCGATCTCTCGCGATTGACGATCCGTAGTCGAGCGAGTCCTCGCAATTCTCCATCTGACAACCCTCCTGATCGGCGTAGTTCATCAAGTCGAAATGGTCCTCCGGCTGACCGCCTATTCTGAAGCGGCCGGCACTCGACTCCAGGGCGAT